CGCCATCTTGAACTGTAAAATTGCAGTACATCATCAAGGAAGTTTCTTGTTGAGCCCAAACCGTCTAGCGAAAAACCAATCGCTCAACGTGGACGATAAACCGAGCACCGCGAAAAGACCCGTCATATGCCCGAACACGATCTGCCTCGGAGGCTTACGGCTCAGAACTTTTCTCGCCACGTGTCTCGCCAACTCACTTGCATCCGTGGCACGCGCGCCCTGCGATGCGCGTGCCCTCTCTGCGATCGCTTCCTTGAACTCTCCGTACAATCTCCACTCCTGTAGTAGTCCCACCTTCTCGGTGTCTGCCTTGCCGAAATTGGACTTGACGGCGCCAGGTAGGACCTTGATTACGTGGATGCCAAACGGTTTGAGTTCGAGCCTTAGCGAGTCCGACATCGCGTGGACCATGGCTTTCGACGCGCAGTAGGATCCAGCCCACGGCGTTGGGACCGATCCTACGATGCTGCCGACGTTCACAATGCAACCGGATCGACGGGAGATCATGCTTGGAGCAACCGCTTGCACCTTTAAAAACAAAATGAAATAGATCATTTGATCAAGAAAATCAAGCCATTGGTTTGACAGTGTATATACTTTATGATTACTTAGAGCATCTCCAACAGCTTCCCCATCTTTTTGAAATACTTAATTTTGGGGAATATAGAGCTTTTTTTTGTCCAACAGATTCCCCATATCATTCCCCAAAATAGGGAAGAAGGAGAAAAAATAGGGAGCATTCCCCAAATCTGCAGCATTCTCCAAATTTTTGGGGAGAGCTTTATTATTGTAATAAATACGATTTTTCAAAATGGGGAAGCTGTTGGAGTTGGAGCAAAAATAATTTGGAGAATATGACTTTTGTTTCTCCATTTTGGAGAAAATTTTGGGGAAGCTGTTGGAGATGCTCTTAAAGTAAGAGCATCTCCAACAACTTCACCATTTTATTGGTATTCTCACTTTTGAAGAATTTTGGGTTTTTTTTTTGTCCAACAGATTCCCCATCCCATTCCCCAAAATAGAGATAGAGGAGGGAAAAAAAGGAGTCTTCCCCAAGTCTGGGATATTCTTCAAATATTTGGGGAAAGCTTGGTCATGAATGCAGCATGTTCTTCAAGACGGGATGGAGGAAAAAATAAATATAAAACAAAATTCGTAATTACAAAAAAAACCATAGGGGCAGTTCCAATGCATAAGAGCATCCAAAAATAGGGATGTAGAATATTTTTATTATTGTAATAAATACACCATTCTTTAAAATAAGGGAGCTGTTAGAGTTGGAGCAAAAATAATTTGAAGAATATGACTTTCGCTTCCTCATTTTGAAGAAATTTTTGGGAAAACCGTTAGAGATGCTCTTACTATAAAACTAACAGTTACCATTCTGAGTTGACCAAGCGCGTTGACTTCCCAAGCTCGTCTCACAACGTCAAGATTAAGCTCCGCCAGCGGACCGGTGCATCCAATCCCGGCGTTATTAACCAACACATCAATCCTCCCGTGTCTCCCCAAGACTTCAGCAACAGCCAGCTCAACACTTTTATCGTCAGCAACATCAATCCCAATCACCTCAGCATCAGCAGGGCCATCAGGCTCGTCGATGATGCCCGAGAGGCGATGAGCAAGGTCAGAAGCAACAACGCGGCAGCCTATGCCGCCCTTTGCGCAGCCGGTGATGAGAACTATTTTCCCGTTGCTGTCCATTGAGAAATGATGACTTGGTTGGTTGATGGATTTTTGGGGTCTAGTAGTTTAGATGTTATGCTGGGTTAGTATTTAGTGGGAGGTCCGCCGAGATTGTTTTTAGATGGTCGGAGAGAGTGAGGGGATATTCTTGAAGATGCGGAGTGTTCTGCAAAGACTAAAATAAATGGACGGCTAATTCCATTGGTTTAGTGTCCGTTATCCTCGACCCGTATCCGTATTCATTCTCTCCAGTTGACAAGGTACAAGTTATTTTATCCGCTGTTTTAAAAACCCTCCTACTAGTCCGTCTAGGCGTACGCCTAGGCCTAGGCGGTACCTAGGCAGCCTAACTAGCGCCTAGCCGTACGTTGGTTGTCTACTTAAGTTTGGGGAGTATTTAGGAGAGCATTGTCTGCATATGTGCGCTGCACCCTTTGTTTTGATCGTTGATTTTTTGTATTGCGACCTCTATGTCCTCCAACCTCCTTCAAAAATTTTTAATCTCCAAATATGAACACCTTCACTACCTCCTCCGACCTTTAGCAAAAACATCATCGACCACCAGCTAAATGAAGAAAGAAATCCGTCTAGACACCGGTCTGGACCAAAGTTTTCTATAACATTGATATTTATTATCAATTATTATAATTACAAAATAAAAAAGAAAAACTCCTGGGCTCTAGGCGTCACTAGGCGTCAGATCCAACGCTTAGGACTCCTGGCATTTTCTATAATAATTTTGTTAGTTATTATTTTGGTTATTTAGTATTTAATTATACATGATTTATTGTGAATCTAAGATTGCTATATATTTTTGTTTGCAAATTGATATGAATTTAAAACATGTTTTATTAATTATTATAATTAAATAATTTTAAAAATAGCCAAACGTCTAGACGCTGGCTCAAACGCCTAGTCTGCCTTGCGTCTTCTGTAACATTGATCGTATCTAATTATTTTCATAGATAGTTTTGATAGTGTTCAACACTGAGACATAAATTAAAGTTTTCATTTTAAGAGTTTTTAAATAATTCGCTATACAATACAACCAAAAAAAAAAGAATTTTATGCAAAGAATATATTGTTGGCATGTGTTGTTGTCTTTAGCTTTTAAGGGTTAATTGACACAAATTCCCTGTTGTAATATTATCCCTGTATTTTAATTTTGGTATATAGAAGGATGATTTCTTGATTCTTTGAAGATAGAAGGATGATTTCTCGACTCTTCGAGCCTGGGCAAAATTTTGACAGATATTATGCCCAGATAAAATTAGCAAGTCTGCTTGAAGGTAAAATAGTCGAAAAAAATATATCCACGTGGCATGTATGCCAAAAACAAACCACTGAAAAAGTTTCGATCTGCGATACTAAATGGGGGTCAATGCGCAATTAACCATGAAATATAACCCTTCAATCCTCCTCTGACCGTAGACAACTACATCAGCAAAGTTCGAAATTTCCCCCCTAAACAAAGATACTCATCCAATTTTAGACCGAGCTCATCAAACTTGTGATCCAAGATTATCATATTTCACAAGAATGCTTAACATCTCACGAGATACTCTAACATGGAGGTTGAGTTATAACAGGAAAAGTTCGAATCCCTCTTGGAGCAGCATGCAGCATATCACACAAATATTTATTTCTGCTACAGAAACTCTAGTAAGAACCATAGCCATACTCACACAAATACATATATAACACAAAATTCTGTTATTTCAGACACCAACAGTTTCCTCAAAAGACATTATTGGCCAGATCACAGCCTATGTAAGCCAGCACAATTTGTGATTTTTACATGAAATAAAAAAATCACAGTAGATATTTAACTTTAAACAAGTACAAGCTTACCTTACCAACTTGCCCAAAGTGCAAGATCATCCACCCAAATAATCGAATTGCCAAGTCAAGCAAATTAATTTTTTTTAAAAAATAAAAATAAAACAAATGGTTCATAATACTTGTAGGTAGATAAAAGGTTCATTAAGAATAATCAAGTTTTGAAAATAAAAAAGCGAGATGCCAAATCCTGAAATTATCAATAAGGTTTTTGTTGATCAGTCGTCGGAGCTTGTCAGCTACAAAAGGTGAGAGTAAGAGGCTCGCATCCAGTTGGCAGTTACAGATAGATTCCTGTTCCAAAATACAAACTTGTATTAGAAAGAATTATCTCACCTCACATTTTGAATTATAATACGTCATCCGTTACCCTTTAGCTGCCAAAAACATGATAAAATAATCGATCTATGGTTGCATCCAACCATAAATCAATCAAAGTTTCTCATAGTTGACTCAAGGAAGCTCGATGAAATAGTCAAAGAACTTCACATATATCTCATTCAAGTACCACAGAAATCAGGTAACGCTATTTTAACAAACATGAAAAAAGAAAAAAACGTTATAGCTAACTCCAACATTACAAATAATGAAACCCTTTCATCAACATGGAGATGAATTTCGCCCACTTAGAGCAGATATTTAGTTGGGGTTTGGCCAGGTTCAGATATTCAAACCCAGCAAAAGAAACTGGGAACTCTCAAAAAATCTACACTCTGTGCTTTCAAGCTGGGCTAAATCGGGTTGGGTCAAAAACCCACCAACATAGTTGACACTGGTTGAGTATGATTTTGAGAGGAAGGCAAGGCTAAAAATCATTACTTTTTCCAAAATTTTCAAGCTTGAAAATATGGAGCAAAAGGGAAAAATATGGTCATCCAACTTGTTCACTCAGAAGTATTTGTCAAGTTGTTCATTTTCATCATGAAATCCCTATCAGAAAAGGATATGTCTAAGTAGGCTATAAGACTGGAGCAAATCATAAATTAAATGCCTTATATCTCCTTTTGAATTTAACTGCTAAATTTAATCATCCATCTAGAATCATAACTCCCCTTGACGTCGTCAAATCTAGATTAACTCTGGCATGGTATTAGTAAAGCTGGTACTGACTTGGATATTGTTTTGTTTCCCTCAACTCAATGGAGGTCTCCTTTAATTTATACTAGCAAACTTTATTCGCAAATGATCAGATCATTATGCTCAGTCCTTGCATTATAGGAGTGGTTTTATAGCATGAACATTTGATCTATGTCATCCAGTACCTTATCACAAAGTTTCCTTATCCTATACCAACACAATGAGCATCAATCCTTCAGATGAGCCATTCAACTATTACCGTCCAACTTGGTTACCCCTTATAATTATGACAGAACCAATTAGTTTTCCAAAATGTAAAAATAAATTAGCACAACTAAACCCAGGATTCTCCGTTCCGTAAAGTCACATTATCCACAAACCCTTTCAGGCTGCCACATTCCCACATGCTGAGAAACCCAAAGGCAGTAGAAAAGAAAAAAAAAACATTATACTGCTCCATAACATTGTCAATCTGGAACTTAATCCATTACAAAACCAAGATCTACATGAACGATTTTTTAACTGCAACCTAAAACTGTGCGCTAGATACTGTTCACCTATAAATCCTCTTCAACACGAGAGTAACTGTTTAAACAATGTGTGATATCCACATGAAAAATGTGTGCGCGTGAGTTATGGTAAAAAAGATCTCCACCTGTATCACTATATATTAAACTGAAACAAGGGAGAATCTCCAATGTCGGGTATGAAATTGACAGACCAGCTTGAAATATAGATCAGATGCATGCTAGATGCCATGGGGGTCAAAATGAAAAGATCTGCAAATAATATTATACAAGTTGAGCATGTATGGTTAGAGGAATTGAATGATACTATAAAGTGGATATGAAGGATTGAAGACAAGTGGATATGACATCGCAGCGAACAAATATGATAAGACAGAAAACAATTCAGAACCTCTGAGATCTGAAAATGAGGCCTTCAACCTCTTGCACATAGTTTGGGCATCATCCCTCAGTATCATGCTGGCAATTTGCAAGTAAGGTCAGGTGACGTGAAAGCACTTTCTGAAGTTGGGACTGCTGCCAATGTAGGGCTCAGAAGGATCTTGGCCCACACGATTATAACCACGAGGGAAACAAAGGGTTGTGATCACAGAGATATAGGTTTCTAAGGTCACATTGCATTCGACATGCTCTTATGAACAGATATGTTAAACAAATGGCACACAATATCGCTAAGCAATGCCTTAACAAGCTATTTAATATCGTTTCTAGTTTCTACAATGCATGTTGAAAATTTAGCTACGAATTCAATCAACATACAAAAAGATGTGTCTTGTAAAATAATGTCACAGATTGGGGGACGCAGGCTTCTTTTGTTAGATAAGAAAATCAAAGGTGTCTAGTTAACATGACGACAAGCATTTTTTTAGTGGCTTAAAGTGTTCCTATGTCACAATAAAAAATATTTCAATCTTTTACTTCTCAATTTGTCTCGATGATCATATGGCTAATCTAAAAAGCCGTGAAAGACAAATAGCCAGCCATCTAGTGATATTCTCTCCTCAAAATTTTGAACTATTAATATTTCACTAGTTGATTATAGAGCCAATACAACAAAAAAGGGAAAGCCCACAAGCCAGCATCTCGAGACTCCTTCCACGATATAACAAATAGGCTAAAAGCCTAAAACGAAAACTGTCAGGAAAAACAGAATGACGCAAATAGATATTAAAAAATAGAACCATTACAAAAAAGCTAGGGTGCGTTTGGGAACCTTGGTGTTTCCTTCATTTCCATGGCGTTTTTGTCAAAATAAAAACACCATGTGTTTAGGAACCATGGTATTTTTATGGTAAAAAACACCCAAAAACAACAAACATCACACTTGTTTGAAAACACCTTTTATGTGTTTTGAGTTTGGCATGGTGTTTTTTATGGTAAGAAACTCAAAATGGTGTTTTCAAAACACATTGGAAAAAACACACAATGGCATGGTGTTTCTTTAGAAAAACAACAAAAAACTCACAATAGTATCCAAACGCACCCTTAGAGGTACAGATATACACATACATGAGCGAAATCATGAAATAGGATCACCAAATGGCAAAGACAAATACAAGTAGTTAGAGAGATAATTTCACCACTACTAGATAAGCATTGACCCCTCTGTTTCCAGCTTAATAGAAAAACAATTTAGGCAATGGACGATCATTTAAATGGCTCAACTCTTAGGTTACACTTAACCATTTCATAATTGGACAAAGTGTTCACCATAAAGAACTATTACCATTGAACAATGTGGTGACCTCAGTTAAGTATGACAATTAAGGAACATTAACCAGTGGGGAAAAAATCCAGACACGCTATCAAACAAAAACATTTGAACAAAACATATAAACTATAAAAAATACTAAATAGAGGATTTTCTTTTGACTTACCAATCAGGAGACTTGTGGACTTTCCAACTTTTCACTTCCAACATCCTCTGTTCCATTACTATGATTGGTTATCCTAACATCGTTATCAGTTGGGTTCGACTTATCATCACCAGACCATACATAGCCATGATATCCAACAGAAGGCATGCCACTATATCCACCAAAACCTACATTGAAAACAGTGTAGCCATAAGGAACTGGACTCCTTGCACTCACCATTTCCTGACCATTCCTCGCACTCATCGTTCCCTGACCACTCCAAGGAATTCTCCCATATGGAGTGCCATAACTTATTCCACCATAAGGTCCATATCCACCACCATTTCCAGCTGCTCCATAAAAAAAACCTGGAACAGGTGGTGTTGCATAACCCGGATAAAACCCATATCTAAGGCTGTACGATGGATAATAATCCCTTTGGTGATTATTAAGGGCAGACCCTCTTCCATTATCCAAGTTGCCATTAGAGTCACTAAAATTAGTTTGGTTATTGCTGCCCTTGGGCACTGCAATTTTTACCTCTACATTCTTATTGTTCAATACATGAAACTTCTTCTCCAGAACACAGTCTACAGCCTCCACTGAATCAAACGTAATAAAACCAAAACCTCTTGGCCGTTGCGTAGAACTATCATACATAATAACAACATCAACTATCTTGCCAAACTTCTCAAAGTAGCTCTTGAACTCATCTTTTGTAATGTTAGAAGAGAGACCGCCTACAAAAATCTTCTTTAACTTGGTAGGATTTCCGTTGTTATAGTAATTGTTAGAAGTATTGCTGCTTAGCCCACTATTTTCATGGTCACTATGCATTGAGTATTGGCATCGCGGGGATGGGTAATTCTGGCGTTGTTCAGTTCTTGGTCTCGCTCTTTTCACATCTATCTGTAACATCATTAAAATACAAAGGATTATAAACAAACTGTGGAGTCAATTATCTGTCACAATACAAGACAATATATATTTTCAACAAAATGCGGATGACAAGATCTAATACTTTTCTGTGACAAAATCATTGACAGTTCAAATGTTCCACATGAAATTAATATCTTATTCATTTATATAATCCGTACAACAAGGAAGGTTGTTCGTCAATAACTGATATTACCTACCACTATAGCTATTTGTCAGCAACACAATTATGTAAAATAATAGCTATTGTACAAAAGCCACACATGTGGGACAAAGTCTGTTTTTTCTGCTGTCATACAACCACTTATAAGGGAAAGGATGTTTCCAGAATTCCTCATCCTTTATTTGGCAAGCAAAACGATAGTTATACTGAAGCTCAAGTTAAGAATTTATACATAGATATGGGGAAAGAACAAAACAAAGGTCAACAAAAACATGAATCAATAACATGAAGTTCGAAGACCACAAATTTTAAGATTGATCCTGACAATCAAGTAACACCAAATGTCAAGGCAGTATCATGTTCATTTAGATGAATATAGGCATAAAGAATATGAAGAATAACTTTTTATCACCAAGAAAGAGAAGAACCTGATAACAAATGCAAATTTAGGAAATACTTCAAACAAGAAATAAATAAGAAAGAACTTCAAATTTAATTCACAGCTTCAAGAAAAATTCAAAGGATGCAAAAAGGGCAAAGTTTTAGAAGTTTTCACAGTCTAATGTCTTACATAATATTCATGAACCTTATATTCCTGAGTAATTGTTCCTTATTTCTTCTTATCTAACTTATATTTCTGAAGATTTTACTATGCCTATACTTCTGCCAAACCTTAATAAGATGTTTTTTTTTGCTATAATTACCTACTGAAACTTTTTCCTTCTACCACCAACTCAGATGAATATAACCATAAAGCATATGAAGAATTATTTTTCTATCACCTAGGATAAGAGCCCAACAATATATGCAAAATTAGGAAATGTAAAAACACGAAAAGGGAAAATAAGAGAGAACTTTGAATTTAATTCACAATCTCAAGAGATATTCAAAAAGATGGAAAAAGAGCAATGTTTTAGAAGTTTTTACATTATAATTTCTTACATAGTTATTATAAGCCTTAAATTCTATTATTCCTATATTTCTGCCAGCCTTACTAAGATGTTCCCTTTGCTGTAATTACCTACTGAACTTTTTCTTTTCACCAACTCTAGTCACCAAACGATTTACTGTCCTAGGTCATTCATGAATTTCTCCAGCCACCTTCTTAATACAACAAAACATACTATTTCACATAATATTAACCTCATCATCTTACTCCAAATATCGACCTTCCATATCTACGTCTTATTCCAAATATCTACTTTCAACATTTTATCCTTAAAGGTTATCAATTGCCCGTCTTATATGTATGTATGTATGTATGTATATACACATACATATTTATATGTGTGTATGTCTATATATATATGCTATATATATGCGTGCGTGCGTGTGTGTCTATGTATATGTATATGTAATATTAACCTCATCACCTTATTCCAAATATCAACCTTCCATATCTCTGTCTTATTCCAAATATCTACTTTCAACATTTTATCCTTAAAGGTTATCAATTGCCCGTCTTATATGTATGTATGTAAGTATGTATGTATGTATGTGTGTGTGTGTATGTATGTGTGTGTAGACACACACACACACATAATTCTTTTATAAGATCATACGAAATTGTAAAACCTAAAATCACATATCTGATTTCATTCTTCTTTCCATATCCATAACCTCCATGCAAATTCTCATATCCACTACTTTTTTCCCAATAAGCCCATAAAGGTCACCTAATTTTTCCCTCCAGGATTCTCTCTAGAAATTCATCCGAAGTTTTTCCATATTTTCCTCCTACTACTCTCAGGTGATCCTACTTAGGGTGTATAAATATTAAAAATATTATGCAGAAGCACTAGCAATATTAGTTACCTCCAAGCTTAATACAATCTATATTAGTATTATTCTATCACCACTCTTTTAAATCTACATTTATCTGTTAATGTGTTATTGACAAGTATTATCATCTTGTTTCTATTCACCTATTTCCTTGTAAATCGAAGTTTATATCCCATACTTCAATTTCTCTAGAATTTCCATCTATCCGTTTAGTTTTGGTTAAAAAAAACTATATTCATCTTTCTTGTACATAAGTGCCAACTTCATAATCTTCCCTATATAAGAGTATTTATACTAAAAGTCGTAAACCTAGTCATACTCTCATATATAAGCCTTCTACATCTTTCTCTCCCATGATTCCTCTCTAATTATGGCTATTCATGTCTTGGCAATATATTTGAGGACCAATGTGGCACCAAAAAATTCTCACAATACTCTTGGCGTCATTATACCAGGTGGCATTGACGTAATGTGACATTTTGATGGATGCCCAATTATCATTTGCACCGGGGTGACATTGATTTAAAGTATGAGTGCTAGGCTTTATCTATATTCTAGCTATCTAACACAACCCTCCTCATTTATCCTGATTTAAGATAGGCAGTGAAGGACAGTACTCATGCATTTACCACTTTGCATAAATTGCTTTTATAAATTCAAAGCAAAAGAAATGGCACATAGAGAAGTATACATACTTTGTTAACATTAAAAATTAGATTCTTTTAGTTAGTATGAGTGTTCTTTCAAACAAAATTGCAACTAATTAAAAGCTTCCTATAAATTCTCATGCAAAAAAAATCTTAGCCCCATCACGAAAACTCTGATAATAAACATCTTTCATGAGAAAGAATAGTAATCATTTTAATAAAATCCTTTATAGCTTCTAGCAAATAATAGTACCTCAGGTACAACATACTTCATAAAATAGAGAAAAATATTTATATAAAAAAGGCTACAACACACACTTGTCCCCTTAAACTATCAAATTCGTCCCTTATTATCCCCCACCCCCCAAACCAAAATAAAAAATTGTCTTATTTAGCCCATGCTCACCCCTTGAACTATTTTCAGTCTCACTTTGCCCCAGAAGTATCGTTTTCCTCTCTAAACCTCTTAAAAAACACCGACAAAATAGTGAATGAAAACTGGTAATTAGGCACTTAAAGTGAAAGTTCAAGGGGTAAGCAGGGATGAATTTAACAGTTTAGGGGGCAAAGTGGGATGAAAACTAGTTCAAGGGGCATGTAGGGACTAAAAATTAGTCCGGGATAAGAGGGACAAAGTTAATAGTTTAGGCGGCAAGTAGGGTATGGAGCCTATGAAAAAAATAAGGACAAATTTTTATATCGACCCTTTTAAATATTTATTTATAATTTTCAACCCAGTCCAAACTTAATTAGCAATTTCGACCTAATTTCCATGAAACTAGGCCGGAATTGCTAATTAAAACTTCACAGGATTGCCAATTCCGTAAAGTTTCCTATGTTTTAACTTCACGGGATTGCCAATCCTGTGAAGTTTTATTCACCAATTTCAACCTAGTTTCCATGAAACTAAGTCGAAAATGCTAATTAAGTTAGAAGTGGGTTGAAAATTATAAATAAATATTGAAAAGGGTTTATTCTCAAAATTGATCCAAAAAATAAAAACCGATACCAGAATCTACACACAAACAAATTCACAAACCTATCTAAAAACAGCAAAAAAGGCCTTAATTTTCCTTCATACCTGATTCTTCAAATCTATCAAATTAACTAAGCATTGAGTAAAGGCAAAGGGTGAATCGCAGAAAAACTGTAGTATGTACCATCATAAGCACCGCCCCTCAACGATTTTATTAACACTTAACAATCTCTAACTTTTAGAAGAATAAATTGCAGATAACCCCCT